AAATAATTGCTTCAATTCTAATTTTAGACTGAAACAAAGAAATTTGAGCTATTTTCAATTCAATTTTGCTCGATTTTAATACAGAAATAATTCGAAATTAATGTATTTTGTAAATATAATTGCTTCAATCTTAATTTTAGGCTAAAATAAAGCAATTTGTGATATTTTCAATCGATTTGGCTCAATTTGAAGTTGGGAATCAACCTGAATCAAAGTATTACAACCAAATACTGAGTTAAATAAGAGTTTTCTTCCAAAATAAAGCAATTTGAGCTATTTTCAATACAATTTTGCTCGATTTTACTACAGAATTAATTCAAAATTAATGTTTTTTATTAAAATAATTGCTTCAATTCTAATTTTATACTGAAACAAAGAAATTTGAGCTAGTTTCAATTCAATTTTGCTCGATTTTAATACAGAAATAATTCGAAATTAATGTATTTTGTAAATATAATTGCTTCAATCATAATTTTAGGCTGAAATAGGACAATTTGTAATATGTTCAATCGATTTGTTTTCTTCCAAAATAAAGCAATTTGAGCTTTATTTTAATTAATTTTAATTAATTTAATTTAATATAGTTGATGTCAACTCGCCGGTGTGGTAACCCCGACATTGTCAAGAAAAAACGCCCAAAACGGTACATTTTGGGCTCCCAAGGTTGGCAAAAACGCACCATTTCCTACTTGTACGTAAATTTTACCATTTTACCCAAAAACCCAAATTTATTAGCATAGCAAACTGGTCCCCAAAACTGGGCGAAGCCTCCGTGGCCCGAAACATCGAGCTAGCCCTCAACACTTGGGGCCAATACGGCCATTTGAAATTCGAAAAACGCCCAAATCCCGATGCTGACATCATTGTGGCCTTTGGTAGTGGGTACCATGGGGATAGTAGCCCATTTGATGGTCCTGGGAATATCCTAGCCCACGCTTTCTTCCCCAATGAGGGCCCGGATGATGGGTTTGGAGGTGATATTCATTTCGATGCTGATGAAAATTGGGTCGATGGAAATGGGACAGATGGGACGGAGTTTTCCATGGTTGCGTTACATGAATTGGGACATTCGTTGGGTTTGGCCCATTCGCCGGTCTCTGGATCGATTATGTTCCCCTATTATCGGGGATTAGAAGGCGAAAAGGGGCTACAATTGGGCTATGACGATATTTTAGGGATGTATGAGCTTTACAGTGAGGCAATTAGCCCATTTTTTGGAAAAACCCACTAACTAGGGCTTCAAGTTCGCAGGAATATAGCAGAAGAAGTGACAAGTAGTGTTTCACCAACTACAACAAGTGTTGAAACTTCAACTTTTGGTGTTTCGCCAACTTTTGATGCTTCACCAACAACTTCTGCTGTTTCACCAAGTGTTGAAACTTCAACTGTTGGTGTTTCACCAACAACTTTTGGTGTTTCGCCAAGTGTTGAAGCTTCAACCCCCGTTGTGGTGTACCATGGAGATGCCGAATCCGTCGAAACCCACAAAGACCATGACCCGACCCATGGAATACCATCAACCAACTCGCCCAGTCTCCCAAACATCTGTGACGCTTCCTTCGACGCTGTTGCAGTTTTACGGGAAGAAATCTTCATTTTTAAAGAACAATACTTGTGGAGGCTTAAAGATTTATCCAAGATTGAACCAGGATACCCCATTCAGATCACCCAAATGTTCCCAGATTTGCCCAAAAGTACCAAAAATGTGGATGCAGCCTACGAACGAGCTGACGGAATGATAGTTCTATTCACTGGTACTGGAACCCTTTCGTTTTTTTTTTTGACCCAATGGTGGTGTTTTAGGGGACAAATTCTGGGTCTATGATGGTAAAAGGTTCATAGAGGGTAGTCCGAGACCCTTGACGGATTATGGTCTACCTGGCACACTTGATAAAATCGATGCGGTCCAAACCTGGGCCAGAAATGGTAAAACCTACTTTTACAAGGATGAGATTTTTTGGAGGTACAACGAAACGGAGGGGAGGATGGATGAGGGGTACCCCAAACTCATGGACCGGTGGAGGGGGGTACCACGTGGTCTCGACGCAGCTACCACTTTCAAAGGTTTGGGGTTTCCCGTGCCAAATACTTAATTTTTTCTCGTTTTCAGGAGTTACTTATTTTTTCAAAGATAGGTTGTACTGGAAGTTTGACAATGAGTGGATTATTATTTCGGAAGAGTCGCCCCTTCCAGCCCCCCAGCGTTGGTTAGGGTGTCCCGAAGACGAAGCAACTTTTTCCCAATTATTCAATTGAAACATTTTGTTTTTTCAATAAAAATTTATTGTGGCCAAAACCGGTCATATAATCGTTTTAATTCGTCCCAAAATACTAAACAAAGGACAGTATGGGGTCCCAATCTTAGATACATCGGTCCTACTCCCTTGTAAAATGCTGAAATTCCTTCAGTTTTGAAGATTTTGACCACACAGTCCAAGTAATTTGTATACAAAAGTCCTCTTCCGTGAGGGTCAACAGCTGAAATTTTTTGGTGGTTTTGGTGACTTCTAGGGATTTTTTCACTTACGTTGGTTATACAGCCTGGTCATTATTAGGTCAAAGGGGGTCATCATGACACTAATTGCCACGCCGCCTACCATACTGCCGCAAAAAGAGGTCAAAAGGGGCTTATCCGAAAAATATTCGTATTGATTCAAAAACTCTTTACTGTATTTGAATGAAGTCAATTGGGAGGTTGACCCGACGAAAGCTCGAGGAATGGAAGCCCCAGCCCCCCGAAATAGCCCCTTAATCTAAAAAAAAAAATTAAAATTAAAAACTGACCCAAAAAATCGGAATTTGAAAGGTTTGAAAGAAAAAACTTTTTCAGTTGCAACATTTTATTGAGACTTACTCCATTTTTTCGAAAAATTTTTTTGAACGCACTCCAAGTCCCCTCATGTTCGTGTTGGTGTCCCACAGCAATGGCCTTAGCCGCCTGCGATTGCAAATGCGTCTTGACTAGGAAAAAGGGGCTTGCTAAGTATTGCCCCACGACCCCTCCCGTCCCCCCCACAATCACACTTTTGTAAAATATTAAATTTCCCTCAATGTCGGTGACATAACCGTGATTTTCGCCGAATTGAAAGGTGCCCAATCGCATTCCGTTCATGATTAGTTGGACCCAAAGGGCCGGGATGAGGCCCTTTTGGAGGGCTAAAAGGCCGTCGTTTTTGGCCACGACGTAAGCCGCATGAGCGACGTTTTTGTAGTGGATTGTGTGTTGGTTTTTGGCTCGGAGTTCGCCTTGGAGTTGCAAGCGGGTCTTGAGGACTTCCAGGGGGTTGGTGAAGCAGCAAGCCGCCATTGCAGAGGCGCCGGCGATGGCGAAGTCCATCGGGCTTCATAGAGTTTGGACGAGGGGCCACTAAAATCTAGAAATTGTTATAAAAAAGGCCAACCATCAATGACTTCAATGAGTTTGGACTAAGTTCTAAAAATTACAAAAAAGGTGAAAATACAAGAAAGTCCATTGGAATGACTTCAAAGAGTTTGGACTAAGTTGTAAAAATTACAAAAAAGGTGAAAATACAAGAAAGTCCATTGGGTTTCAAAAACTAAGTTCCCACTAAATTATTCCCCAATTCGCCAAACTAGGTAAAAATACTAGAAAGTCCATTGGACTTCTTAAAGTTTGGACTCTGTTGTAACTAAGACTTTTATTAAAAAAACACTCCATATACATACAAAAAGTTCCAGTCGGCGATGGTGAAGTCTATTGGGCTTCACATAGTTTGGACTACAACTTAAAAATTAAAAAAAACACTAAAAGATACAAAAAAGTCCATGAGACTTCAGAGAGTTAAGAGGTCACTAAAATTTAAAAATTATTACAAATAAAATATAAGGGAGTCCAATCAGCAATGACGAAGTCCATTGGACTTAAGAGAGTTTGGACTAAGTTAAAAATAAAATCAGTAACAAATTTTGGACTAAGGTATATATATATACCACTAAATTCTAAAAATTAAATTACAATTAAATACAAAAAAATCCCTAGGATTTTATAGAGTTTGGACTAAGTTGTAATAAAAATCAATAACAAATTTTGTATTACGTTACCAATGAATTCCAAAAATAAAAAAAATTTGGAAACTTTAAATAAAATTACAAAAAAGTCTATTGGACTTCTCAGAGACCAATCATCGAAGGCAAAGTCTGTTAGACTACAAAGAGTTTAAACTAAGCTGTAATTAACATCAATAACAAATTTTGGACTACGTTACCAAAAAAAATTAAAAAGATTAGGTGAAAGATTGGACTTCTTAGTGTTTGGACTAAGTTGCGAATAAACCTTACGTTAAAAAAGGAAACTACTCGTTTTTATTCATTTTTAACTATTGAGATTCCTTTTTACCATTATTTCATATTTCTTGACTTAGTGATGGCGAAGTCCATCGGACTTCACAGAGAATAGACTAAGTTGTATCTAATTTTAATAACAAAATTTGAACTAAGTTACTACTGAATTCTAAAAATTAAAAAAATTGGAAATAGGTAAAAATACAAGAAAGATAATTGGACTTCTTAGAATTTGGACTCATGTTGCAACTAAAAATATTTAATAAAAAAATAAAAACACCAAATGTAGAGACAAAAAATTCCAGTTGGCGATGGTAATATCTTTTCGGGCTTCACARATGTTGTTTGGACTAATAAGAGTCCTTTGGACTTCAAAAAGTTTGGACTAAGTTGTAATTAAAATCAATAACAATTTTTGACTACGTTACTACTGAATTCTAAAAATAAAAAAATTGGTAAAATAGGTAGAAATACAAGATTCAATTGGACTTCTTAGTGTTTGAACTAAGTTGCTAAAACCTTACGTTAAAAAAGAACACTACGTAAAAAAATCCAAAAATATCTAGTTTAATTTTTTATTAATTTTTAACTATTGGACTTCTTTTTAAGTGATGGCGAAATTAAAATTGAGATTAAATTGTAGCTAATTTCAATAATAAAACTTGATCTAAGTTACCACTGAACTCTAAAAATTAAAATAATTGGACTTTCCAGAGTTTAGACTAAACTAAAACTTTAATAAAAAAATTAAAACACTAGGTTTAAATACAAGAGTTACAGCTGGCGATGGTAAAGTCCATTGGGCTTCATATAGTTTAGACTACAACATTAAAATTTAAAAAAATACAAAAAAATCTATCGGACTTCCTAAAGTTTTTTTTTGAATGATTCAAATTCAAATTAATTAAATGTGTGTTGTTTATTTATAAGGGCATGTTGTTATTAAAACAAAACACTTGGTGTAAATAAAAAAACAGTGTATTGGACTTCAGATAGTTTGGACTACAACCTAAAAAGTCAATCGGACTTCATAGGGTTTGGACTAACAAGCCACTAAAATCTATAGAGAAATATAAAGAAGTCCAATAAACGATGTTGAAGTCCATTGGACTTCAAATAGTTTGGACAAAAATTTTAAAAATACAAAAAAGGTTATCAGACTTCACGAAGTTTTGACTAAAATTTTACGACGTAATTGGACTTCTTTTTACCATTATTTTAGACTTTTTAAACACAAATTTTATTTTATTTTATTCACGAAAAAATCCAACTAACCTCTTGCTTAAATCGCCGTTGCCCAGCAATTGATTTGACCTTGACTGTTTATAACAATTTGAACCGACTTTTACTTTCGATTATTTTTGTTTTATTTTTTTCTCTTCATTCCCTTTGCGCAAACTCAAACTACAAAAATAAACAAAATTTCACGTGCATATGGTTTGGAATTAAGTGATTTAGTGATAAACATAATTTGAGAAGAGATAAGAAAAATTCATTAAAGTGTCCCTAATTAACATCAATTGTGAGTATTTTTTAATAAAAATCGGATTTTTGGCATTGTTAAATTAATTACAACAAAACGAAAATTTTAATTAATTGCATCAGCAATTTCGCCCATAATTATTAATTAATTTGAATGAAAATAGCAGTCACATGACCTGAAATCGAGTCATAAGAAAGCAAATATTATTATGTTTGTAGAAAAAATTCATTTATGTTGAATTAATTTCAGTATCTTGTAATAACATCCCACTTACCTATACTAAATCACAGTAAAAACACTCACTCTCAAAACCTAACCAAAATTCCTCAAAACTGATAACACTTGAGTTATATAACCCTCAATACGCGTGTTTAACAAGTTGCCTACCCCTTGCTCCTCAAAGATAATCCTCAATCCCTGCATCATCCCTCGATGTTTGTGCTGAAATCCCACTGCAATATTTTCGGATCCTTGAGTTTGCAAATGTGTCTTGACTAGAAAAACGGGGCTGCAGGCGATTTGCCCCGCAACTCCCCCAACTCCTCCCGCCAACACACTCTTATAAAACACTGTGCCCCCCTCACGGTCCAAAACCCACCCCCGGTCCTCCAAACTCTGGTAAATCCCCAATCTGACCCCATTGAGGATGAACTGCACCCAAAGGGCCGGCGAGAGGCCCTTTTGCAGGGAGAGGAAGCCCTCGTGTTTGGCGATGGTGTAAGTCGCGTGGATTATGTTCCGGTAGTGAACGGTGTAGTGCCCTTTGGCGTGGAGTTCCCCCTGGAGTTGCATGCGCGTTTTTAGGACTTCCAAAGGGTTGGTGAAGAAGCCGGCGCCCACGGCGGCGACACCCGCGATCATGAAGTCCATGGTTGGGGACTGGAGTTGTGCGAGAGTTGGGGTTTTTAACAAACCCACTTATCTTATCACTGTTATTATTAAATATTAACAGTCATTGTGGAAGCCTTGAATGATGCAAATTCGAATTAATTAAATGTGTGTTGGTTATTTATAAGGGCATGTTATTATTTGGTGTAAATAAAAAATATTGTATTGGACTTCAACCTAAAAAGTCAATTGGACTTCATACGGTTTGGACTAATAAGTCACTAAAATCTAGAAAAAAAATAGAAGCCCAATGAGCGATGGTAAAGTCCATTGGACTTCTCAGAGTTTGGACTACAAGTTTAAGATTAAAATAATTCTAGAAGAATATTGGACTTCAAAGAGTTTGGATTAAGTTATACTTAAAATCGATAACAAATTTTGTTCCACTGAATTCTAAAAATAAAAAAATTGAAAACGTATGCGAATATACAGAATAGTTTATTGGACTTTTCAGAGTTTGGACTCTACGTTGCAATAAAACTTTTATTAAAAAAAAGAAAATTTCAATTGGCGATGGTAAAATTTATTGGACTTTACTACTTACAACTTAAAAACTAAAAACAACACTAGAAAGTCAATTGGACTTTATAAAGTTTGGACTAAGAAGCCACTAAAATCTAGAAATATAGAAAAAAATTATAAAGAAAGCCAACCAGAAATGGTGAAGTCCACTGGACTTCTCAGAGTTTAAATTACGTTAAAAAAGAACACTACGTGTAATAATACAAAAATATAAAGTTTATGTAGCTTTTTATTTATTTTTATTATTTTAAATAGCTATTGGACTTCTTTTTTACCATTGTTTTAGACTTTTTGAACACAAGTTTCACAATTAACACTGTCAGGTTTTAATTATTATTATTTTATTTTGTTCAAGCTAAAAATCCAATTTTCAGAGAAAATTTAAGAATTTATTGCGTTCTGTTTTATCCACTATTTTTTATATTGTATTTTTTTTTAATTCAATATGTTTCAAAATTTATCAAAAAACATTTTTTA